TGGAGTTGGGGTACTGGAAAGGGGGTTCACTGAGTTCGGCCTGGGACGGCCCGTCAGGACCCAGATATGTGACAGAGACACATCTCTATGTTCATGACTCTTCCCATGGGCCCATGTATGCCTGAGTGAAAGGGGGACTGAGAATATTCTGGCAGCACTGAAACAATTTCCAACACATAGAAATCAAACTCTCATTGAGTGATCAAACCAAGCTTGAAAACACATCTGAAATACATTTGAAAAGCCCTCCAAATCCATTAAACTTCAGAAACATTACTAAGTTGACTAAATAGGCTAAAAATGGTTTGAAAATATATTTGCATATTAAAGCCCTGTTCTGGCACTCTCTGGGACAGTTGAAACTCTTGTGCTAGTCACTTTCTGGCTGGTATAATTAGGCGACTGTATCCCTCTGAAGCTGTTCAGCGCCAGCTGTTATATGACTGGATGTCCAGAGGGAGCTGCCTTCATTGTAATTAACTCACGCCGCAGGAAAAAAAGAGGGCCACCTCTCCAGGTACAAGACTAGCGGTCGGTCCGGTGTCCACGAGTGTACTACCTGCTCTTCACAGCTTGTTAACCGTGGTCAGAACATTTCATAATACCAGAGTGACTGCTCTTATGAAACATTGTAACATTTTCTATTCGAGCCCCATTTTTGTTAACAAAATCTCCTGATTCATCTTGTTTATTTTAAGAACACACATCCATCTTTCTTTCTCGGTCAGCCCCTATAAACAGATCCTCAGTGCAATGTGGATTCTCCTAGGCAAGGTTGAACCATACAGTATATTCAACATGCAATACAAAGAGACTTATATACAGACAGGGCAGGAATTCCCATTGAAAGGTGAGTGATGCTAATGACGAAGGTCACACTCAGCGGAAGTCAAAGGCTAATGTTATCAGATTCTGTGACAGTTGTAGCGTCTGCATTAGCAACATTCAGGCTAAATAGTTTGCTGTGGTTCCTAAACTGATATGGGGTCGGTGAAGTCAGATTATCCACTGGGAAAGATCCAAGTAGTGACACAGGAATCACAGGGTCCTGGAAAAACTTCACTGCTGTTCCAGGATGCTGGTTCTTGTGCTTCATAGTCTGTCCTCAAAAAACACAGCATATTACAGTCTTTGTTTATTGTTTTTTAGAACATATTTTAACTTTAAAAGTGTTTGAGACAAATATTTAAACATTTTAATTAAATATTGAATAAATAAACTGAATATTATTGAATTGATTAATTAAAAACTAAATGTTATTAAAGTTCATAGCAACCAATTTACAAATATATAAATAGTAATATTTTAATATCAAAAGTAATTCAGCCATCACCAACACCACTGATATCAGAAGTTATTTTAATGAATATTATTTAATTGAATAAATAATAATTAAATATGAGTAAAATTCACAGAAATATATTTACATATATGATATTTACGAATAATATTTTAATATCAAAAGTAATTTGGACATCACAAACAGCTTTGATATCAGAAGTAATTTCAAAATTTTTATTTAATATTTATAATAAATGTATTATCTATTATTATTTTATAACATATTTATAATAAACATATCTAATATTTATCAAACACTTTGATATCAGATGTTATTTAAATTATTTAATTTAATAACTAATATTTAAATTTTAGTTCATTGCATAGCAATCCAATTACATATATATATATATATATATATATATATATATATTTATAAAAACAAATATTTAAATGTCAAACATAATTCAGTCATTGTAAACAGCTTTGATAATAGAAGTTATTAAAATAAATAAATAAATATGATCTAACTGAATTTTTAATAATTACATTTGTAAAATTCACAACAATCTGTTTACTAAATTATTTCACAAACAATTTTGATATCAGAAGTTAATAAAATAAATAGTTATTTAACGGAATAATTGATTATTAAATATTAGTCAAATTAACAGCCATCCATTTACACATATATTTATTAATAAAACTATTTTAATATAAAAATATTCAGATGTCAATAAAAAAAAAATAGTGATGTAATAATGTTGAAATATGTCATAGTAAACAATTTCAATAAATGATATTTATGAATACAAACATACAAAATATAAATTGGGTATTATTCGTGAACTGAGCATACAGTACATTGAATCGCCCCACAAAGTTACTTTGATTAATCTAGATTAACTACTTTTTCACTTAGACTCTTGAATCCAGGTGTATTCTTGTCCTCTAAATCCATTCAAATGTATTCACAATGTGTTCTTTCTTAATAAATTGTGTAATTGTTCTGATCTGATCACAGGAATGATTAGTCATTGTCTCAAGTTCTGCTGTGAATTCTCCAGTGACATTAGCCAAAATAACCACGCATGTCTACCGGAGGAGGCCAAAGCATAGTATTTTCTGTTTACTGACACGGGTTCCTGCTGCTAAGCAGTGGGCGATCGTTTCTCTTAGAGCCGCACTGTTCTTTAGACGTGACGCCATTCCTGAGAGGATAGCTGAGGTTTAGTCTAAGAACCACCTGCCACAGCAGTTGGACTGGATTTGCACGAAACGGAGAAAGACGGCAGGATTGAGTCGGAGGACTGAGTTAGGCTAAGGTGCTCCCTGGTTACGGATCAAAGTGCTAAGGTACTCCAGATGGTTGGGACAGGTAGCTCAAATTATTTCTTAATGGAAGCTAATGGCCCATGAAGACACTTGGCCTGAGAAACGTTCAAGTGTGCCGGCTATAAAACAATAACTATCCCTGGACATCGATCTGTCAGTTTTAGAGGCTGCAGTGTGTGCTGAGACTTTTAACTCCTCAAATGTTTGTTGTATGAGGGCTGATGCTTTCTTACCAGGGAATTAAGGGTTCAAGGGTGACCAGATGGCAATCTGTAGGCTAATCCGTACACCTGGTGTGTCAGTAGGGCAAAGGTTCAAAGTCTGAAATTACAGTAGCGACGGGAACTTTGGAAAGTGGTCATCTATCTAGATTCTTCAAAATAAGTGAGATATACATTTTAATTCTTATTTTATATATTTAAAAAATAAATATATAACTTTTTTTGCATATTTGTTTTCTAATTTATATATGCTACTATTCGGTCAATACGATTTTTTTGTTTTTGAAAGAAGTCTCTTATGCTCCCCCAGACTGCATTTATTTGATCAAACATTTCAGTATGAATAGCTATAAAAACCTCTTTTAAAAAATTGATGACATATACACTTATGCAATATTAAATTTAAATCTATATTAAAATTGAACATATTAAAATGTTTATTTTTTTTATATATTTTCTATAATTAAATATGCTGCCGTTTAGTCAATAACATTTTTATTATGTTTTTGAAATAGGTCTGTTATGCTCACAAAGGCTGCATTTATTTGATCAAAATATTATTAAAATTTAAAATAACTATTTTCTGTTATCTTTTAAAATATAATGGTGGCAAAGCTGATGTCACATGGTCCTTTATGAATCATTATAATATGCTGATTTGCTGCTCAAGAAACCTTTTTGCAGGATTACTGAATAGAAAGTTTAAAAGAAGCATTTATTTGAAATAGAAACGATTTGTAACACTATAAACATCTTTACTGTCACTTTTGATTAATTTAATGCATCCTTGTCAAATAAAAATATACATTTCTTTGATAAAAAAAAGTCTTAAAAAAAAGTCAAACTTTTCTACAGTAGTGTTTTGCAATAAAGTCATACAATAAACCCCATGTTTTAATATTACATAAACAGTGGCATGCGAAAGTTTGGGAAACCCTTGCAGAATCTGTGAAAATGTGAATAATTTTAACAAAATAAGAGAGATCATACAAAATGCGTGTTATTTTTTTATTTAGTACTGTCCTGAGTTAGATATTTTACATAAAAGATGTTAACATATACCCCCTTCAAAAGTTTGGGAACCCTTTGTTCTTAATACTGTGTATGGTTACCTGGATGATCCACCACTGTTTTTTTGTTTTCTGATGGTTGTTCAGGTCCTGTAGATTCTTCAGTTTTCCAGCATCTTTTGCATATTTGAACCCTTTCCAGCAGTGACTGTATGATCTGATTGAGATTCATCTTTGAGGACAATTGAGAGACTCAAACACAACTATTAGAAAAAGGTTCAAACATTCACTGATGCTCCAGAAGGAAACACAATGCATTAAGAGCCTGGGGGTAAAAACTTTTTGAACTTGAAGATCAAGTTAAATTGTACTTAATTTGTTTTCCGGGAAACATGCATGCAAGTATCTTCTGTTGCTTCCGAAGGGCAGCACTAAATGGGAAAAAATTATATTTCAACAAAATAAGAAAAATTTGGACATCTTCATCCTGTTCAAAAGTTATTTTATTAATGCTTTTTTCTTTTTTTTAAAGGCTCTTAATGCATCGTGTTTCCTTCAGGCGCATCAGTGAATGTGTGAACCTTTTTTAATAGTTGTGTTTGAGTCCCTCAATTGTCTTCAATGTGAAAAGATGGATCTCAAAATCATACAGTCGCTGCTGGAAAGGGTTCAAATGTGCGAAAGATGCTGGAAAACTGAAGAATCTACAGGACCTGGAGGATTTTTCTGAAGAACAGTGCTCAGTTTAACTGTTCAGGACAAACAAGTGACTCATGAACAACCATCACAAAACAAAAAAACAGTGGTGGATCATCCAGGTAACCTCACACAGTATTAAGAACCAAGGGTTCCCAAACTTTTGAAGGGGGTTATTTTAATAATTTCAGCTATTTTTTTTTGTCTTGTGGACTATATGTAAACATCTTTTATATAAAATATCTTACTCAGGACAGTACTAAATAAAAAAATAACATGCCTTTTGTATGATCTCTCTTATTTTGTTAAAATTATTCACATTTTCACAGATTCTGCAAGGGGTTCCCAAACTTTCACATGCCACTGTATGTTTCTTTTTTATTATTATTTCATTATCCTTCCTTAATTTTGTACCACTCTTTATTTGATCTTTTATCTTTCTTCCTTTTGTCTGTAGGAAAACCCATACCTGTGTAGTGACGAATGCGATGCCTCCACCAAAGAACTCGCCCATCCTCCAGTGCTGATGCAAGATAGCGAGCGAACCGGACTCATCACGTACTGGCAGACTGTAACATGGGGTCGTTATCCTGAGCCTCTTCTGGCCAACATATCCTTATCCTGGAACAAAAGCCTGGAGTTAGCGGATGACGTCCAGATAACCTTTGAGTACGGGCGGCCCACAAAAATGGTGCTGGACAAGTCCCTGAATTATGGACGAACCTGGCAGCCTTACCAGTACTACGCCGACGACTGCATGGATGCCTTCGGGATGTTGCCAAAGAGGGTGCAGGATCTGTCGGCCACGAACGTGACTAGAGTCATATGTACCGAGCAATACTCTCGCTGGGTCGGTTCCAAGAATGAGAAGAATGTGCGGTTCGAGGTCCGGGAACGCTTCGCCATATTTGCTGGGACAAAATTACAAAACATGGACAACTTGTACACACGCATGGAGAGTATGAAAGGCCTCCGAGACTTTTTCACCTTCACAAACCTGCGGCTTCGGCTGCTGAGACCGGCGCTCGGAGGAACTTACGTACAAAGAGACAACCTGCTCAAGTACTTCTACGCCATCTCCAATATCGACATACCAGCAAGGTAATGATGCACAACACCGTGTTTGTGTTACTCATGGATAGCTTTTTCATGTTTTATTGTTTAATCGCTCATATTTCAGGCTTTTCTGTCATTTTTTTGAGAGAAAATGTAGAAAAATTATATGAGAGAAAAGATGGAGAAAGGTATCAGAACACAGGAGAAAATCATATTTTAGGTGTTCAAGTTTGTGTAATCATAGTTCAAAGAAATAAATTGGACATCACACTAATATTCATGAGCAAAGCTGATCAGTTTTATTGTTTCTCACACTGTTTGGACATCATTTTGTCCAGCGCACATGCGCCAACCTGTAAACCAGGCCTACAGCGTTCTGCTCTTCTAAACCAAAATCACTGGATGTGCAGAACGAACCCAACCTTCCAGGGTGGTCGTTTCACATAACCTTATGAAATATGAATGCATCAAGCCTTCATCTTGGTAGGACTGATAAATTTTGGTCTCATGAAGATACTCTGGAGTTGTAAGGCCTTGAAGATCTTCCACGCTGACTTGGCAATGCTTTAGGTTTCATCAGATATCATTTTTTAACTGTTTTGATAAATATTGCATGCATGCATGCATATCTTAATGCACATCAAAAAGGCATTGACTTTCGCCGATTTTAGTGCTGCTGGTCCTGGAATTTGTAAGTCAACTAATGCACGAATTAGAACTATGTAAAAAAGTTTAACCTGTTAAAGTTATAGCAATTAATACCAGATAGAGGATAAAGTTGATCACCTTGGCTCATGAATGTTAATAGGTAACAATGTTCAACAAGTAGCCACAAAATTTAAGATTACTTGCATGTTTGTTCAGTCAGTTGATCACCAACACTCTTAAAAATAAAGGTGCTTCACGATGCCATAGAAGAACCTTTTTGTCTAAACAGTTTCAAAAAGAACCTTTAACATCTGAAAAACCTTTGGGTTTCACACAAGGTTCTTTGTGGCGAAAGAAGGTTCTTCAGATTATAAAAAGGTAAGAAAGAGATGGTTCTTTGTGGAACCAAAAGTGGTTCTTCTATGGCATCGCTGTGAAGAACTTTTTAAGCACCTTTATTTTTTAAGAGTGAATGCTAGACGCTTCTGTCAAGTTATGTGTCTGCTGTACTCTTTTTCCTCACTGTGGACAAACATAACAGACCTCTAAAAACATTACAATTATTGCCCAAATAGTGGCAGGGCTATATAATGTTTTCTGTGCACCATATAAATCTACATAAGTGCATATTTTAATATCAGAAAGCTTCAAAGTTCAGCCTAAAAAAGTGAGCCCTGCTGATCCGTCTTCATAAATGTCCTTCATAAAATAGAGAAGCATCTTGGCATTTTTCAAACTAGTTGTTCTATATGTTAAAGTGATCAGTTGGCACGCACAGCTATGATAAAAATGTCCAGCAGTGAAGGGGGATCAATGCACGGCCCAAACCTCCGGTAATGCAAACCCTCAATCAATACTTATTCTGGTATGTCAGAGAGGAAATTGTTTTAACGGCGATAGGGAATGGGATGGGTTAAGTAGACAAATGGACAAGCAGAAAGCGGCCTATCAGAGTGCTGTCTGACGTTCCAGTGTTTCACAATGAGAGGAGCGCTGGAGTGGAAATGTTAAGCTAATACCCAGCGGAAAATCATCCAGGGATATTTTATTCATTCCACAATATTGGGATGCGTTCCAGCAGCATTTGAATAATAAAAATGGCATGGCCTCCCTGATGGCCTGCCCTGTGAATACTCGTCTAAATAGAGTCTGCGGGGTTGGTGGGTGTTGGGCACGATAATCAGATCAGACTCCACGACCGGTGATGCTTCTTGCATCACGGCCCATTTCCTCCATCATCAAGCATGTGCTAATAATCAGTGCTAATAGCCTATAATAAGATGGGCCAAGAATCTTTAATTGAGGAAGATGAAGTGTTACTTGTTTTAAAGCAATTAAAGTATGCTGTTAATTTCCCTATTTACCTCTTTATTTTGTGGCTTGTTTGCCAGGAGATGTTATGTGCGCTCTGATAATGATGTTTTCCTTTTCATCCGAAGTGCCAGCGATACTATTAACTCATATTCCTGCAGAACGCATCTAAAAATAGCCTGACTGAACAATGAAAACATATTCCTCGGTTGTTTTTTTTCCTGCTGCTTTGATGACATTCGTGAAAAATCTTCTTGATCAGCCCCTTTGCCGCTAAAAAGTAATATTTAGGAGGCATCGTGCTGTACGGCATGCCACGTGTCGGTGAACATAAGGAGACACAATCATTCTCCCTGTGAAGATTAGTTTTTTTTTTTGCGCAACGCTAATATGTGTAAAGATGAGGCTTGCGTTTTATCCTCACCTTCTCCTCCCTGCTCCGGTTTGCTGCAATCTGACGTGAGATACAAGACAGTAGAAAGAGTTCACAAATAGGTGTCCCAGAAGATGGACCGGATTTGGAAACGGTAAGAGAGCGGGAGGGGTGGGCTCGTGTTCCATCAGACAAATATCCCAAAGACATTGCTTGAACCTTAATTAAACCTGGTAAGGGAGGAAATAAATAAATAAACATGATTCCCAGGGTTCATGTTAATTTATGCAAAGACTTGAGTTGATCGGATGCATCTCCTGTTCCCTTTCCCCCTTCCCTTTCTTACTGAATCCTCACATGAAACCCTTCCACTGTACCGAGATACTGCATATCAAAGAAGCTAGGGATGGCTGCTGAATTTAGCAAAAGGGATTTTGGAGAAATAACGCTGTTTTATTAATATACACAGAACCTGATAGGCCATTACTAAAGATCAAGGTCGAACAGAAATAAAATGGGTCGGTGTAAGCCTATCAGAACTCGCATCTCAGAGATGGCCTTGGGCCTACGTTGGCAAAGAGACAGGGAAGGTGAAGGGAAGGTGAGATGCAGGAAGCTCCAGAGGTGCCACGAGGACAATATCAGGATCATTCCGTCTTTATCACTCGTGTGTGGGCAGAAACTCTATCATGAAAGGACCACCATGAAGAGGTGTTTTGTAGAGAATCGAGAATCACTCAGAGATTGATTCACACCCACACATGGATTGTGCCGTTGTGCTCTTGTATTAAATGTATAGTGCTTGTGATTTCAATCATTTAATCACCAGGCCTGAAAACACCAAGACATAGTGATATACAGTATATGCATAGAAAAAAGTTGAAAAGTACATACCAGTCAAAAGTTTGAAGACACCTACTCGTTCTGTATTATTACCAGTGCCGGGGAAGCTACTCTGACACTTCAGCTTCCCAACGTACTAACAAAAAATAGCATTTATGGTAGCAATACATACACACTGTGTACACATATACATGTATGGCAAATATAAAATAATACACATTATATAGTCAATGATGTATTCAGCAAGCAGTGACTCAAAAATAATAATAATAATAATTCCTTACATTCAGACTTCACGACCGGTGATGCTTCTTGCATCACGGCCCATTTCCTCCATCATCAAGCATGTGCTAATAATCAGTACTAATAGCCTATAATAAGATGGGCCAAGAATCTTTAATTGAGGAAGATGAAGTGTTACTTGTTTTAAAGCAATTAAAGTATGCTGTTAATTTCCCTATTTACCTCTTTATTTTGTGGCTTGTTTGCCAGGAGATGTTATGTGCGCTCTGATAATGATGTTTTCCTTTTCATCCGAAGTGCCAGCGATACTATTAACTCATATTCCTGCAGAACGCATCTAAAAATAGCCTGACTGAACAATGAAAACATATTCCTCGGTTGTTTTTTTTCCTGCTGCTTTGATGACATTCGTGAAAAATCTTCTTGATCAGCCCCTTTGCCGCTAAAAAGTAATATTTAGGAGGCATCGTGCTGTACGGCATGCCACGTGTCGGTGAACATAAGGAGACACAATCATTCTCCCTGTGAAGATTAGTTTTTTTTTTTGCGCAACGCTAATATGTGTAAAGATGAGGCTTGCGTTTTATCCTCACCTTCTCCTCCCTGCTCCGGTTTGCTGCAATCTGACGTGAGATACAAGACAGTAGAAAGAGTTCACAAATAGGTGTCCCAGAAGATGGACCGGATTTGGAAACGGTAAGAGAGCGGGAGGGGTGGGCTCGTGTTCCATCAGACAAATATCCCAAAGACATTGCTTGAACCTTAATTAAACCTGGTAAGGGAGGAAATAAATAAATAAACATGATTCCCAGGGTTCATGTTAATTTATGCAAAGACTTGAGTTGATCGGATGCATCTCCTGTTCCCTTTCCCCCTTCCCTTTCTTACTGAATCCTCACATGAAACCCTTCCACTGTACCGAGATACTGCATATCAAAGAAGCTAGGGATGGCTGCTGAATTTAGCAAAAGGGATTTTGGAGAAATAACACTGTTTTATTAATATACACAGAACCTGATAGGCCATTACTAAAGATCAAGGTCGAACAGAAATAAAATGGGTCGGTGTAAGCCTATCAGAACTCGCATCTCAGAGATGTCCTTGGGCCTACGTTGGCAAAGAGACAGGGAAGGTGAAGGGAAGGTGAGATGCAGGAAGCTCCAGAGGTGCCACGAGGACAATATCAGGATCATTCCGTCTTTATCACTCGTGTGTGGGCAGAAACTCTATCATGAAAGGACCACCATGAAGAGGTGTTTTGTAGAGAATCGAGAATCACTCAGAGATTGATTCACACCCACACATGGATTGTGCCGTTGTGCTCTTGTATTAAATGTATAGTGCTTGTGATTTCAATCATTTAATCACCAGGCCTGAAAACACCAAGACATAGTGATATACAGTATATGCATAGAAAAAAGTTGAAAAGTACATACCAGTCAAAAGTTTGAAGACACCTACTCGTTCTGTATTATTACCAGTGCCGGGGAAGCTACTCTGACACTTCAGCTTCCCAACGTACTAACAAAAAATAGCATTTATGGTAGCAATACATACACACTGTGTACACATATACATGTATGGCAAATATAAAATAATACACATTATATAGTCAATGATGTATTCA